CCTAAAGTGCCACCAGCCCTGACACTCAAAACCTGTCGAGAGAAAAGAAGACATAAGGTATGATTATGACACCACCAGATCAACAGCTCATTTCCCACAGTAACTGAAGTCCCTAACAAGGTTCTTACAATTTCTGTACACATGCAAAATGATAAAAAGCATAACTGCACTGAGACGGTATGTGAGGACTCCAGCAGTTGCTTGCCTACATCACATGATACCTTTTCGAGATAAAATGCATAAAGGCCATCACATGTAAAATGAACAATAGCTGGTGTTATGTCTCCCTGAAGGAAGTAGCCCTTTCCAAAATTATGCTATTGGGTCCAGATGTATCACGGCAAACACCAATCAACAAGCACTTCACGGCAAAAGCTTGCCCAGTCACAAATTGTTTTGTCAGACAAATTAAACTTGTCTTCAACTCTTGAATTGGAAAAATATTCACGCTAATATAAATTAATGAATTTCAGACTAGTCTCTAAATCTAGTTTAGTGTGATCAAACCAGGTGTTTTTAAATATTGTTCTAATGTATTGACATCGCACTGTTCTGTTATTAACTTTTTAGATTTATCACAGCGGAAGCTCTTTTTCTTTATGTCTAAAAGGCAGTCACTGTTACACTTTTCACACTTTAAGTTTTTCAAAATCAAATTGTGCTCTTGGCATAGTCTGATAAGTTCTTCTACATTATCACTATATCTGTGAAAAAAATCCCCAAAACTGAAATCGCACAAACTACAGAAACTGCCTTCCATGTCTATTGGCCGGGGAAGAAGGAATGACCTGGGTCATGAACCCTTAAAAGCTTGGTCGGACACTCATTAAGAGCCGGGCATTACGAATGGTGATCGAAGGTACTTCGGTGGTTATGAAAAAACAAAATATACGTTATGTAGCTAATAATGTAATGTAAATAAATGTTTATGAGCGGACTGTGTATATGATAATATAATATAAAGTGAATAGTACAAATAAAAAAATACTATCATACTATCAGATAATTTGTAATACACATGAAATACTGATAGTAGTTATCATGATGTTAATGGTAGTAACGTCACATGATGTACATACGCAGTCTGAGGGAAGTTGCTTTAAAAACTGCGCATGGACTTATACTCGTGTGTGATTTTTCAACTTAAGATGCGTTTCATGTGCAGAGACTTAGCCGCAATGAGCGCATGTGGACTCTGCCTTGGCGCGGGATTTGTCGCGACCTTTTAAAAAAATATTTGATGTTATTCTTTGTCTCGGCAGATCATTTCATCTATCAGTGAGTGTACTTTTTACATATCTTTGTGACGGTGCCCTTAGCTTTTCCTTATCTTAGCGTGGTTATTATATTAAGAAAACCAAAATTTTACACAAAATAACTTTACAAAGGGGAGGCACAGAGTCTTGTCACCGCTCATGGCTGTTTGTGCGCACCTGGCCTACACACCGCATGCCCGGGATATTGGCTACTTACATAACCGATTGCCCAGGGTTTGCAACTCCATGATTTCCATCATGCAACCAGATCCAAAGAGTTAAGTGTACTTGCAGAGGTCTGAGCATGTCAAAACTCCATACTAGCCATCTGGGATGTAAGACTAATTACTCTGAATTTCATTCTGAGAAGTAGGATGTCTTTTTCTGACCTATCATTCTTGGTGGCCTCTACATCTCCCATCTTGCAAGTGTAGACAGACTGTGTGTGTGCATGTATCATAATAGTTACCCGCATCCCCACCTTAAGCCCTGCTTTGCAAAGTGTAGCCCAAATGGGTCACAGAAAGCCCTCCAATGGCTTAGCCACATCCAGCTTGCAGCCCGTTAAAAAAGGAAGAATGGCAAAAAAGTACCAGCTAGTAAGGGGTGGAGATTTCAAATGACCCAGCCAGAACTGGACTGGAGTACTGGATTATAGGGGTTACAGGTAAGTTATAAAGAATATTTTATTCAATACTATAATATATAAGACATATTCCAAAGAAACTAAAGGTAAAGGCACAAAGGTTTGTGAAATGTAATAAGGCTATGCTTGTGTGTCGAATCCAGGCATAAAATAGCCTCAACATTTTATGTCCCATGTAATTTTTTGCCGATGTGTACTCTGGCATTTATATTCACTACGTATATTCTTCATTATGTATATTCTGCTAAGACCTTGCAGATTTTCCTAATAGTTTATCATTAAATAGTAAAAAAAAACATTAAGACAAAACCTAAAAAAATATATACTCACCTCCTTACTCGTATCATCAAAGAAAACATTCGTCACTTTGCTCACGGGCTCGAACCTTATAGGATGACTTGATAGTTCCAAATAGCCATTCCGGTCTCCTAACTCATCCATAATACACGTCGAAGAGAGTGTTCTTCTTCACCTTCTTTACTCTTTCTTAACTGTTTTTCTTCTTTTTATTTTAAGCTACCAAAACAGGGTGAACGAACACCGCCACCCCGCAATCAGCTGGTAATGACTTCCCTGTGTTTACATACGGACGAACAGTAACACATGCGACTGGAAAGTGTTCTTATTGGATCCCTATATTGGTCTCTACAGATAGCCATTTCAAATCATTTTTCACTAACAGAGAACATCTCGCAAGACCATTCATTTATAGATAAGGTAATAAATCTCGTAAGAGATGTCAATCATTTAGAATTTTGTCAGGGACAGATAGACAGCAATTGTACACATGTTTTGGAAACGTTTAGTGGCATGGATAAATATATAGAACCTGTTAAGTTATCCAATAATGGGTGAAATATCGAAGAAAAACGACGCTTTTGTGGAACTCGGAACTGGATGGCTTATGAGGAAAAAACGCCTTTCGTGAAAGCTTCCGCTGTGAAAGCTTCCGCTTCCGCAAGATACTAAACTCTAAATCGCATTATTACCTCCGCTTAGGAGCTTATGTTTTTGGTAGCATTGGTTAGTTGGTTAGCAGTATAACTCAATAAGTTATGAACAGATTTTACTCAGTTCTTTCACAGGTATGTCTTAGCACAGCTTATATGCTATTAGATTTTTGTTGTGATCTGGATCCAGGATTTTTTTTTTTTTTTTTTTTCAAGGATTCATTAGCATTGCGAGACAGGGAAACACAGACCTCACTATTGTACTTCAGAAGGAGGTAATTTTAATGTAATTCTTCAGGTATAAATACTTTCAATGCATTAGAGACCTTTTTGCCTTGGCGGAGATATGCGCTGAGTGCTTCATGTTTATTGAAAGGTTTCAGAAAAATTGTATCGAGATTGGCAAGTCAATGTAGACACTGCTAATCTAAATCTGTTTTGGTAAGGAATAAATGTATTAAAATTTAATCCCAACGTAAATGTTCAATGTTAGTCTGTAATGATACCGAAGACGTAATAGAATATGTAATTGAATATTGGAAAAGTGACTGGAAAACTGTACTTCATTGCCATTACTGTGAATGATACGGATTTCGCTCTGAATTTCACAATAGGATAAAGACTGCCTTTGGCGAATTAGAACCAAACCCTTTTCTTAATACCACCATATATAAAAGTTTTTTTTTTTTTTTTTTTTTTTGCATGGATTACCTTTTCTATTTCTTTTTTGTTCATTGTATGGAATATATTAATTGCCTTACCTGTATATATTCAATTTATTCTTTTTCTATCTTGTGATTATAAATATGTGTTTGTTTGTTTAAAATATGATAAATGTCTGCCATTGACTTTATTTGCTTTATTTTACTAGAAGAAACCCTGCTTAAAACACTTTCTCGTATATTTGAAATTTATCTCACATTATCCGTGTCTCAAAGACCATAATACATCCTGATATTTTCCTTAATAGGAATTTTTTTCATGTCCTAATGCTTTTCATTTACTATTAGTTATTCTCTGCATTGGTTATCACATTTAACGATCATGTCTATAAATATATATCAGTTGCTTCACATTCTCTGTTCGTAACTAATCATGTCTATGGCCTGTTTCAATTTGTCTTGGATTTTCTTGATCCTCTTCCCAGATATTTGTAACATGCTCAGTGAGATGCATTTTCTGTAGCCAAAGGATAGGTACTGAAAATTCGCTTCTCACCAAATCCTAACTTATGCTAAACCTTCTTGATTAATTTACCATGCTAAATCCCTCTAAACTGTGTAAAACATATTTTTGGTTATATTAAAGATCAGTTATTTAGTTAAGTAAATTAAAACAAGAAATCAAATATATACTATGGCGAATACGCTTGGTCATTTCATGTCACTTCTTAAAAAAAAAAAAAAAAAAAAAAAAAAAAAAAAAAAAACGCTGAATTTATTTTTTACGAAATAACGCCAAAGACGGATTTGAGAACATTCCATTCAAGAATTTTGTCATATAGCAAATGACAGTCCATCTGGGTTGAGTATTTTTCACATCTAAAATATACCCAGCCGCTGGGACGAAGGTGTTGGTGTCCGCCAGAGAACGTGAGGAAAATTACTTATTCTAGAAAAAAAGAAAGAATTTTTTTACTTTCCAGGTGTAGATTTCTTGTATCAAGAGATGACTTGGATCAACATCTAACTTGTATTGCCATATTCAGCCTGAGTACGAAATATGAATCGTTCACAGAATGTATAATGAACATTTTAATGTTGCTTATATAAATGATTATGATAAAAAACATCCCAAAAATAAACTGTTACAAAAAAAATAAAAATGTATTTTTCATATTCTTTACAATTATCCCCAAAGTGTCTTTACATAAAAGTACAAAATAAAACCCGTCACATTTCAAAACATTTAACTGGAGTCAACAAAATTAAGCAGAAGGATAGCATGGTGTCGATAAGTAATAAATAATAACACAAAATCATGGTGAGAAAGTAAGTAATAACGTGCATTTGTATATACACGAAAACACACCAACAGAATGCACATTTTTAGATTATTATTATCATTTATTTATTTTCTTATTTATTATTATTATTATTTTTTTTTTTTTTGAGTTTATACCTGTTCACTAAAATAAATAATTAGCAGTATATAGATGCTTTTAACGTAAACCAAGATATACTACTATGTTTTATTAAGAAAATTAATAAAAAATTATTTTTTCAGCGACTAAGAAACATCGGGATATTTGCATTCCCTTGCGTATAAATGACATGACACCCTGTACAAAATACTGTAGTATTAATCAAGATTACCATAATGGAGAACCAGGTATCTGTGCCTTTGACGTGATTCTGCATAAACCATGTAGCCTATTTCGAGAACTTAAAGTATAGTGCACCAGAGCAGTTACATAGTGCGCCACTAACGCTTGCACATGCACGAAGTAGCTAATTTGCAACTGTGCAATAACAAGAAAACCATAAACACTTTACAGTTGATGTACGAGATGCGGATATAGAGCGACGCTATGAAATACTTGGGATGAAATACGGATATTGTGAAAAGTATGCGTTTGTGTTTTTTTACGGATGTTAATGCATGTAATTGCTTTCTGCGTAGAAAATATACACACGTGTCATGATGTAACAGAAAATTTCTTATCTGAGCATGATTTTATAGAATTTCCAACGGCAGGTATTGTAATTGAATAATAATATAAATAATTCTCTTGCATTTACGCGTGCTTAGATTTTTTGTAGTCTTGTAATTATGAAAATAATGACATAGTTGTGTAACTGATCACCATAAAATCCACCATACTTGCTATAATAATTTCTTAAAAACTCAACATATATTATTAAACCATTATGCCGAACATATTAAGACTTTCTATAAATGCTAACAAAAACAAAAGTTATAGTAAATGTATTTATATTCAAAATTGAAAGAAAAAAAAAAATGTGGGTCAATGCATTTGTGCGTCACCGTAGCGCTACAACGGACAAATACACAAGTACTTTTCGTGACAAGATTCGAACCCTTTTAGTAACGGTTTGTCAAACAGGCAAGGATTCGAAACCACTGTTATTTCGCACAAATTTGCTAGTCGGTGAGAATCTCAATAAGTAAACAGTGGAGAACCGATCGAGACTGTAGAGAAAACATCAACGTGAGCCAATAAAGTGGTCAATCTTTACATATTACCGAACTCAAGTGAAAGCTTATGAACTCAATCCTTCATCTAGAACCAGATGATGAACCTGGGAAAAGCAATGCAATGAATTACGAACAACAGACAAAAACAGCAGACGGAGAAACAGCGACAGCGAAGATAACCCACACCCCAAACAAACGCGAAACGAAGAACCCAGCAGACAGACCACGGAACACCATACCCACGCAGCAAACACTTAAAGGTATCCCACAAGAAAATGTATTTCGGTTTCAGTTGGCTAATATATCAATTACATCAAGCTTCAACCACCCGATAAGTTTAAAAGATCAACTAACATGTTTTTCTTACGTAAATAACTGACTTTCTATTCTTTCATTCTTTCTTAGCTGTATCTTGACCTGCAATGACACATTTGGTGGTATAAATCGCGATTTTTTCAGTGTGGCTCTTTATATAGCATCTTTCTATATATATATATATATATATAGTATATATAAACATAGCACCAAATAACTTGGAAATAAAAAAATGTAGCTGACAGTATGTCTGGCAAGGGTCACTTTGTATGGTGGAATGTTACCTTTCATTCAAAAGTAGAGTCATTCAGTACTTTTCATGTTTCATCTAAATCAATTTTACCCAAGCAGAGGGGATGGGTCACTTTTGGGCGTGTCTGGCGGGCATGATGCAGCAGGTAATTTGTCTGGCATTTTCCATTCTGTACTCTCTCAGATGTATTGAAGTATATAAACTTTATTTCAGGTGTGGTACCAATGATGTTTGATCCGGCTCAAATTTTTGGGCCCTTTTTGGCGTCTTGCAGGCCTAATGCAGCAGAGATTATGTCTGGCATGAACCATTTTCTACCTAGTATGATGTGTAAATTACCCTGAAATACATTGTGTATGGTACGTATGTATGTTTGATCTAGCCGATTTTTTGGCCCCTTTTGGGGGTCCCCAGGAACCAAACGCAGCAGGAGATCCCTGGCAGACGACCAGTTCTTCATATGCCCTAGCATTCTCTACATAATCCAGTACTCAGCAATTGGTACCACGTTCGTTTGACCAAACCGCCCTTGGCTGCCGGTCTGTACATTTAATATCCTATTTGAGACCTAAAAATTATAAACACATTATATTTGAAATACAAACCATGATATACACACTAGTATACCAAAAACAAATACTAGTCTTCCAGTGGATAAAAGCAAAAGGGCAACGAAATAGCTGTGGGCTCTTTTGTTTTTAACCGAATATACTGTAAATCATAACTTCCTGGAATCGTGAAGTAACGCAGAAGGATTGCATTACACACACACACACACACACACACACACACCACACACACACCACACACACACACACCACACACATATATATATATATATATATATATGTATGTATATGTATACACACACACACACACACACACCACACACACACACATATATATATATATATATATATT